AAAAATGTCGAGCTAAAATGCACCGCAGGACGGCAGTGCAGCTAATAGTCATAACGCCCATCGGCATCTCGTGTCAGCATACAATTTAACGAATCACCAAAATTCATGCAATATGGCACTGATCACTGCCAGTCAATCGAAAACACAAACCCTTGCGCTTCTATGTTAAAACATAACGAATATCATTTTTTCCCTCTTTTTAAAAGAAGGATAGTGACTCGAACCCGTTATCAAATAGGTCTTAGGTGCACTTACCAACAGGTCCTGTCTTGTCAAATAAATATCATTTACTAGCGTTATATTTATGTAACTCACCATCCATTCAGACACTGCGACGTAATCACCGCTTCCTTGTCAACAAACTTATCAGGTGTCCGTCTGTTACCCTGCATGGTATGTTTCTTTCAACAGTGTCTACAAATAAGACAAAAAATCGTGCCAAGCAGATGAGGGATAAATTACCTTTATAACAACCTTCTCATTAACTGTGAAAGGATATTGTACACCTCTATTCAACCCATTTTCTGGAGTAATATCACCATTTTCCTGGAGAGTTGAAAAACTAACATTAAAAATGTAAGAACAATTCACAAGGATATTTTCAGAAGAATCTAGAATAACACAAGGAAACCTACTAAGATCTAAAGATGGATATGATCAGACCCCGATCTCTATGCGACCACAAAGTCGTCATACTTTATTGGACTTTTACCAATCAGAAGAGTTGAAATCTAAAACATTTAAGGACAAAATGCACTTTGCCTCTTGTAGTTTTCCAGATTCGCACTTCCTCCCACAATAATTCAAAAAAGAGACGACTCCTTTTTAAAATATTACGCTGGTTGTATTTTGCTCAAAAAGTCAATTTTTGGTGGGCACCATGCAACAAAATATCATTTTAAAGGGGCAACATGCAACAAAAAAAATATTTTAAAGGGGCAATGTGCAATAAAAATAACATGTTAAAGGGTCAACGTGCAACCAAAACACCTAATTCCGATGAATAACCATTCGAATTTGGCTATCGGGGTACCGTGCAACATAAATAACATTTTGAAGGGGGGCACTCACTTTATTTTATATTTGAGGGGTGAAAGTGCGAAAATTGGACCTTCATAGAGGGTGAAGTGTATTTTGTCCAACATTAAATATGAAATAGATCAATTTAGACTAAGTTATTACACGCTGGCGAGAAATTAAATTTTACCCTGTGCTCACTTGCCTCCTTCCTGCGTTTCCTGAGAGTTGCATTATGAAATAGTCTGCGATCATCCTCTTGCTTCACTGCAAGAGCTGCAGCTCTTAAAGCTGTGTATGTAGCAGAAACAGATCACAACCACAAGCAACAAAATGAATGAACATGGTAAAGATAGCGAAGGTTATAATGGGTGGGGTGTGTGGGTATTGTGTGTGTGTGTGTGTGTGTGTGTGTGTGTGTGTGTGTGTGAGAGAGAGAGAGAGAGAGAGAGAGAGAGAGAGAGAGAGAGAGAGAGAGAGAGAGAGAGAGAGAGAGAGACGTTACCGTGATTAGGGATCAAAGACCCAGCCTCAATTTCAGAATTGCAGAGTATGCATTTGCACTGTAATGGCATAAATAACTAGACACTCAAAATAAATTCACAATTACAGACCTAATAATTAAGGAGCTGTTTTCAGAAGAAAATATATGGAAACAAAATGATTTACTAATTATTAGTTCAAAGGCCAGGCCTCAAATTTTATAGTCTGGTTGTGCACTGTTCTAGCTCGACTAGCATTAAAATAAGTTGTAGAGATACTAAGAGTACTTGTGGTGCTTTTGAGAATAGTAAACAGCAAAAGAATTGCGGTTCAGTGCATACAACCATGATTTCAGATTAAATACAAGATTTCAGGTACTGACAGGAACTAGCAAGACAGTCTCCAAAACGACGAGATGGCTTCCTTTTTCAAACGTGTCAATATGTCATTTCTGGAAAATAATGATGAAAAGGATTGTGGGAACTCACTTTCTTTAAAAATTTTGTGTGGTTAGAGAAAGGGGATATGAAAACCGTTCTCGTCTCTCGGCAATAACAAAAAGATAAATAAATGCTAAAATTGAAGAAGAACAATAACAGTTGGTTTTACACTAACGGCAGATAACCCTTTTTTTATGTGCAGAGAGGGCCTATTCCAGTCACTGCAGCAAAACCACCTCTCAAGTAACATATGTGTGATATTATATCCTTTTGCAGTTGTACATATTTATGATGCCCATTACAACTTTAGAGGAGAATTTAAGGACATTGTGATGAACGTGTAGAAGACATTATGGAAGATCTAAAGTTTGTTACATTTTCTTTTTCTTTTCTTTTTTTTTTCTTTTGGGGCCAAAATAGTGTGAAGTGATGTTTTAAAATTTTCCCCAGCAAATATCGTAACAGTAGAATACACCTTTTTCCCATGAATAAAGACTTGATCAACTTCAACAACAAGATTGCCAGGAGAGCTCAGGTTACTCACATAGGGGGACAAAATACAATTACATTAAGGAGGATAATATGCAATGAAAACTAAGAGAATATTTGATTTTACATAGATGCCCCTAGATTAGTTGCATGTCCGCAAGGCCGCTTAGCTACAAACTGTTGAGTAAAGCTATACATGCAGTTCAATAATATTTCAGCCAAGACACAAGTCAAAAACTACTTTTTAGTGGTATTAATTATAAACAATGCTTCCCATTTATGCTTGTTCAGTAAGGTAATGAATGTAAGTTCTGAACTCACCGTTTCAATGACCTTCCTCAGCATTAGACCACCAAATGAATGCCCACAGGAAACCAGCATAGCATCCTCAAGGAATGCGCCACTAAAGAATCCTCAATTTCCAAAAGAGAATTTAGAATACAAGAAAATATCCATTCACAAATCATGTCTATGATTCATTGAAAGATTTGACAAAGAAAACCTGTCTAAATCAATAGCTCCAGATTATTGATATAAACTAAATTTTGGAACAACAAAATAGAGTGCACAGATGCAAGATGGAAGGAAATTAGTGCCTTACTCAAGTACGGAGTATAAATGCATATTTTATCATGTATTGTAATTTAATAATATAAAATCAGATATTACTAAGCATAAATTCAAATCTTTAAAGATAAAAACACATTTAGTTTGCAAATATACAAACAAAACACACAAAACTAATCAAAATCTCAAAAATATCAACATAACTAATCTTCATCAGGGGTACTGGGGAGTAAAGATAACATGATGCAGTGGAAAATAGTTGTTTTTTGTTGTGACATCGATGTATGGGTCGAAAAAAGGTTTGCAAATCTATATAGGGTTGTAGTAGTAATATATTTTAGCTCTTGTTTTTGCAAAGACTAGATTTGTTTATAAAGAGAGGTGCATAAAGTAAAAGTGCAGGATATCATATCTGTTGTGTCATGGTCTAATCATGATTGCCATTTCAGCAGCTCCGTCCCTAAAAGAAAGATTGCCATAATACTCTTAAACAATTTCGGCTCTATTTTGTACATCATTCTATAATTTCAACATTATCCATTCACAGTAGAAAGGAATAAAAGATACTGTTCAAATTTACCGAAAGAAAAGGGGACGAGTTGAACCAGTTACTAATGAGTTAAAGAGAAAATTATGAACATGTCAAGGATAAGATTTTTATCAATTCAAATATCATCCACCTGAGACACACATAAAGCAATTGACAAAGCACCGAAAAGCCAGTCTAACGTACGATAAGGAATCGGAGAGCACAGTTCTCAACGATGGTTCCATATTCAAATTATCTGCAGGTACCTGTCAATGCATATCCAGATTGAGAACTCACTAACTACTATAATCAAATTATATCATCTTCTAGAAAAATGAGCAAGAGATATTAAAACTATTGGCATTTGAAAGAAATCCAACCAAAACAAAAGGATTCCATCTCAAAACAACACGGAAAAACAAAGGAAAAGAATGTCATAAAAAAGGACTTCAAAATTGAATCTAGTTACTCTTGCAGTCAGAATATACTTTTTTCAAAATTGAATATTAAGTATCAGCTTGTAAGGGGAAAAAACATTTAACAATTTATAACCTTAAAATCAAAGCCACTCCAGAATGTGTTAAATCTTACAATATTGGATTTTCTGGGAGCAGAATATGACTGAATCGGGTAAAAGCAAAAATGAATTACTCAAAAAAAAAAACATCAAGGAGAAGTGCTTACATAAGTATTATCATTATGGTTACACAAGACATCTTCTTCAGCGGAAAGGTCATCCATAAACTGACTTACAGATATAGGCCCATAGCTCTGCGGAATTACATGCCCAGCTGCTGCAATCGGAGTAGAATCTAGTATTGCATTGCCTTGTGGCATTAGCCGAAATATCACTGATGTCCTGGATGATGAAAGTCAGCCACCAGCTGAGGAAAAAACCACATTCAACGAATTCAAAAAGAAAATGTTGATACCTTCCACCATTTGTAGGGATCATAAGATTATCAGATATAGTCCGGTATGAAGCAGCAGGTCGCAGTCCTGCAGTGGCATGGCTGAGAGCCTTCCCAGTAACAAGTAAGAGTTCCCCGGGCGCCAGGCTGCTATCTGCTTGGTACCAACGCCCACTGTTATCACAAACCTATAACCAAAGAGACCATTACAACTCTCTGAGACTTTAACCTTGTACAGCTTGATAAAACTTAGTCCTCGTTTGGTTGCCAAGATAGGATTAGCCAAGATATGATTAAATAATCTAATGAAAACACAATTGTTTTATTGGACCCCGAAAGGTCCAACAAAAAAGCTCCCTAAAAGCCTACATAATATTTCCGGGTCGACCTCCCGGGAGTTACTGGGTTTACCAAACATCAAACCAAATCCAATTATTTAGTTAATCATGGCTAATCTTCCCAACCAAACGGGACCCTTAGAGATTTGAAATAACATCTTCTTCACAAAGAGTCAAAGACAATAAAATATCCTGAATTAATAGATTTTACATATTGGTTCAATAGAAGATCTTGTGGTAAATAAAAATATCATAAGAGCATTCATATTGAAAAACTAAATAATATTGGATTAATATCATCATAATCATATTAATAAGTATACCATAACACCAGGGGCATCTGAGGAAATCAGCATTAACAGACCCTTCTCCACTTCACAACTGACTGCAATCTTGCCTCCCCCAGTTGCAACTTTTCCTTGCTGCAATGAAATCTGGGAGAACGTTGCAACAAGAACTGACGAAGACGCCTCTTTAGCAGGCAAGGGGCTATCGTCAAGCAAGTGATTGAAAACACTGCAGAAAAATGAATGTTTCGACACAATATGTAAGTATTTACACAAGTTAATGTGTGTCAAGTGTTACTAATCAAGGAAGAGCAAGTTCCGGTAGTTGTACAGGGATATGCAATATAAAAATAAAAAGAAATAAAAAATAAAAAATAAACACGGGCACATTCTTACTCGCTTCGCAAACGAAGATGTCTTGCTATCGCACATAAAGCAGCACGAGCTGCCTTTCCCATGCATCTAAAAATGTCAGCCATGCACGGAGGAGATGAGTCCACATCTTCCAGAGGCCTGTGTAAAAATTGGTAAAGTTAGATAGTCGAAATATGCAATCCAGAAGAAATCCCTTCAGACCTAAACACAATATTAAGAAACCTTCAAACAGAAAATTCAATTAAAAATGAAAATCCATATCTTAAATATCTAGACAAAAAATGTAAAATGTTGAGCAAGGATTGGTAACTGCTAAGCTCTGACACCTTACTGCCAGCACCTTATCCTTGAATGAAATGTAATATGACTTTTCTGCCCCTCTTGAGTGCATAGGTATCAAGTATGTAAAAAAAATATTCGAAAAGTGCACAAGGCGTCCAGGTGCTTTCACCTTTCATTTCTTCAATAACTTTTCTGGTACAACGAACATAAATCGTAATTATGGGCAGAAAGAAAGAGCCATGAAAAAAGGGATTATTTCAAAAACTTTATGACATGAATCAAACACCAGAAAAATTATGTTAGACTACCGTACTAAAAGTAAAAGGTGTTCATTGAACATGCACTACAATCAATCTAATTCCCTTAGTTTTGCCCAATTAGATTTATGTTTACCAAGTATGGATCAGCACCACTAAGTCATTGCCTTAATCCAGTACCTGAAGATGAGCCCATGAACAACATTCGGAACATAACGGACAAATATTTGCAAAACATTCATAGTTTCACAATAATTTTGACAGAATCATATAAATCCTCAAAAAATATAGCTGCTTTCAAAAGATTGTGAAAGTAAGTGAGAATAATAACTGAATATAAACAAATAAGAACAGAAGAAGAGGAATAGATTGTGACAATGACCTTCCAGCCCTGTAGGTATAAACACCTCGGCCACCCTTCCTGGTGCGAAAGTAGAGACGTGAGGAATCGATTGCGCATCGAAGAAGGGCGGCGTCTTCAGGGGAAAGCTCAATGATGGCGGCGTTGTGGCGGTCTAGGGAGGTGGACAAGGCGTCAAGGGCCCGTAAGTAGGTGGCCATTGGGGGTCCATCGTAGGGTAAAATATCGGAAAGTCGAATTCTACATGGAGAGTCCGAAGAGAGAGGACAAGGCGAAGGCAGACGGTAACTGTGATTGTGAATGTGGGATGATCTATTACTGCAAATAGCCTCAGAATTGGGCGGGGGAGGATTGCTCTGATTCTGGTGCTGATGCGTCATCACCAGCCAGCGATCATTATTTCTCTTCTTCTTCTTCTTTCTTATTCTTCTTCCTATTACACAAAATTATGCACACCCCCATAAGTTATGCCAGCGTCTAGTCGTCTTCAGTTGCTCGATTCGCTCAAGTCGAACCTAGGGTCGCCGGTGGTGGTGGACTTCACCGGCGAGAGATGATCGGCAATTCGGTTTTTCCGGCAGCGGTGGTGGTGGCCCGAAGCAGCACGATGTGGTGACACGACGCTTTTGGGTTGGTAAGAACGAAATTAGGGCTTCAATAATGTTTTTTGATAATTTCAATTCCCGTCCCCTATTTTGGTTATTCAAAAGGGGACAACTATTTTGAATACTAACTTTTGCTTAGTTGAATATCAAAAAAATAGAAATTAAATAATTAATTGTAAATTACTTTAATACCCTTAATGAAAATTAAAACAAAAAAATATTACAAATACTATTTTCCTTTCTTAAAAACCAAATAATAAAAAACCTAAAAAAAACATTTCTCTCCTCACTCCCAAACCCCTCACCTCCTCCACCTCCTTCTTCTCCCTCCCCAAAAACCCTCCTAAAAAACCCCAAATCAAAAGAAATCAAAACCTTACACAACTTGCAAAATGGCCTCAAATGACAATAGAATAGTAGTTTATGAGCAAGGAGAACAACCCATTCAAGTATGTATTCATGTATTTTTTGAGCTAAAACATCGATTTTGAAATTTTTTTTTTTTAAAACTCGCCATGTATTTTCGACACATACAGGTCGAAAATACCCTTATTTTTCGACGTGTATGTGTCGAAAATACCCTTAAGTGTCGAAAAAAAAAAAAAAAAAAAAAAAATTCACAGTTCAAATTCGACAGCTAGCTGTCGAATTTGAACTGATACAACAATTTCACCATTTTCGACATCTACATGTCGATTTTGGATGAATTTTCGACATCAACCTGTCGAAAATTCATCGAAAATCGACATATACAGGTCGAAAATGGTGAACGAAGAACCGACCCACGAATCTCAAATCAATGCTCAAATCGACTGAAATCAGATGCACCCATTACTAATTAACGATCATTCTAACCTAAAACAACCAAATCCTAATTACCCATATCAAACAATCAAATCTTAAATAAATATTAAAGAAAAAAAAATCGAAACAACTATAACTTACTATTCGAAGACGACGACGGCGGCGGCTTTGGGCGACGTTGGGCGGCGTTGGGCGGCGTTCGGCGGTGTTTGGCGTCGGCGTCCGGCGGCGGCGATGGTTGGAGCGGCGGCGGCGGCGTCGGGCGGCGTGGACGGAGGGAGGTTTTTTGTGTTTGAATTTTTTTTTTCTTTTTTTTTTATTTGGTTTTCAAGTAGGTAATTTCAAAGAAAAATTGATGTAATTAGTATTTTGTATGAAAGGGTATTTTTGTACTTTTATTTTTATTTTGGTATTAAAGTAAGAAAAAACTTATAAATATGTACTCAATTGTGGTTTTCAACTAGGTAGTATTCAACTAAGCAAAAATTAGTATTCAAAATAGTTGCCCCCTATTCAGAAATGTGATTTGGGCAGCGTCAAATGAAAATCTGATTTAAGGCCCTTAAGCTTTCAATAATTCGCAATTTAGTCCTCGCATTTTATGATATCTTTAGTAATTTGCTAAACGCACTTCAACACTACTCTTTCAAATTAGGGCATCAAGATTTTGGCAGTTACTAAAAGTCCGCTGTTTTTTTTTAAGGACGAAACGACCCAACTTCTTCTCCTTCACAACATACATCCTTCTTGCAACCCTTCAAATCTGCTCCACCCTTGTTGCCCTTCAACACTAATTATCTTTCAAATTAGGGCATCAATTTGGCATTTTGCTAACAGTTCGCCTTTTTTTTAGACGAAACGAGCCACCTTCTTCTCCTCCACTACATGCATCCTCCTTGCAACCCTCGGATTTTTTCCACCCTCGCTCACCGCTGCTACTATTGTCGAAACTCTTCTGCACACAATCATATGTACACGCACACACCCACATGGTGACACACACGTACATACACCATTTTTTGTTACACCTTTTCCCCTTCGCTGGAAGAAATAAAAACGGAAAAATAAGAAATATAATTTTGTGATGGTGGTGGTCATGGTCTGTTTGATGATGGTGATGTATGAACTAGAGATTTAACTTTTTTGTTCAATTAATTTTAACTAAGCCATCGGGATATTGAAATTTAACGTTCTTCGTTTACTATTACGTAATGCCATATATTCCTGTGGTGATAATATTCTGAGGTGTTTGCCATGCTCATAAGTTGTTTTTGCTTATAAGTTGTTAAAAACAACTTATAAGATGTTTCAGAGCTTATAAATTCATCAAAAGTTTATATGTTGAGGAGCTTATAAGACATTTATAATCAAGTAATTATACCCATTTTTTTACGGTCTTAGAATTAGTAAAAACAACTTTTAAGCTCATTATTCAAATAATTTAAAATTTAATTTAAAACTAAGACGTAACAACTTATTAGCTCTTAAAACAACTCATGAAATGTAAGAGTTTATCAGATATTTAAAATCAGGTTAGCCAAACACCCTTTTGGTCTAAGCTCTTGCTTATTCATGTAACTAAGCTCCGCAAATAATTTTTCTATGTTGTATGCGTAAGATTCTGTGTTGTATCATGAAGTGATAATTCTTAGTATAAACTCTTGCTCATGTATGTAACTAACCTCTGCAAATAAAGTGTCTAAGTTGTATGTCTATTTATAAAGTGATATTACTTAATCTATTTATATACTTTAAAGTTCTTAGTGTGGGTTACATGTATAACTCATGTTCAGTGCCTGAACGGTAAAATCGTAGGTCAGGGTTTATAAAACTCAATTAGAGGTCTTTAGGGACTTTAAATGGTATCAAAATCCAAATAGAAGATTCCATGCAAAACGAGAAATATTAATTGACCTTTAACCGATACCAAATATTTTTCAAGGACTTTTAATTTCGCTAATGTTCCCCTAAATAAATAAAAGGTAATTAAAAGAGAGGAATATTTGAAAATTTCAACCCCAAATAATATTTTATGTATTTCTGATCATTTAAGCCCTTTAAAGTTTGAGTTTTTTGTTGCTACATCTCCTTTTTAGTTAAACTTCAATCCCCATAAGAATTTTAAAACTCTTTCTTCCCCCTTCAGAGTTAAAGTTATACGTCATTCCCTTCACTGGACGAAATATCTGGAATGTGCCTAGGTTTAAATCACAATTACATATGTCTCTACCTTCTGATCCGGGCACATTTGCCCCATAAAAGCTCACTAAGGAAAAACCCAATTTATTTCAGGTTCAAACCCCCTTGAGGCTGCCACTAGCCTATCACCCTTTCTCAACAAGAATGCGCGGATGGCATATGAGACTATAGCTAGCTTTGCGGCTAAATCCTGGAAGGTCACATCACTCCCACGAGGGGGTATAGTTGCAGAGAGGCAGTGGGACCCATCGCATTACCTAAAGGGTATGTATAAAGCAGTCTTAATGTACAATAATGCATTTTAAATCAAACATATATTGTCATTCTTACACATATAATATCTCCTTAAGTAGACACCCAACTGACTTGATCGTCGAAATGCTAATGCCGGGAGACTCCTCTCGGCAGCGGCGCCTTTGATGGGCGGGTTTAGGTCGCTCATGGTTGTGAGCGGCGGGGCTGGCGGCGACGGTCGACGAGGAGCTTGGCGCAGGTATAGCGACGAGGAGGAGTTTCAAAGGAGGGGGGTGGGTTTTCTTTTTTCCTTTTATTTTTTATTTTTTATTTTACGTTTCTTTTTATTTTTTGTTTTATTATTTGGTCTTGCATGAACAAACAAAAGCCAATTTAATTTATGGGTATATTTGTCATTTCATCTTAATAAAATAGAATCTTTTGGAATATTTCTTAAATTTGGTCTTGCACGATTGAAATTAGTATTGCGTATAGCCGCGACCATTATAATATTGGATTGGGCGATATTGATATACCCATCAGCGGCAAATAGAATAGAGATAAACCCAAGCCGAGAAAATCCTTTGATATACATCCAGATGGGCAAAAGTACTACTGTGCCCTTATATAAAATTTTCGCCCAACTGCATTCAACATTTTCGCCAACTACATTTAGGACTTTTGGACTAGCATTTATCATTTTCGCTGATTTT